GGAAAAATGCAACTGTTGTCAGGACAGGGGGAATGGGGGGGAGGAAAGGGGGTCAAAATACGCTCAGCACTAGAGGAAACAGGTAGTCGGCTGAGGTGTTAAGCTGCTGGCTGTCGGATTAGCGTATTTTACCCCTCTTTCTTCCCCCCATTCCCCCTGTCCTGACAAAAATTCTATATTTCTGCCAACCCGCATTCTTAATTTACTTAATTACCATATAAATGTAAAGGCCTGATCAATTATCCAAAAAACGCATGTCCGCCATTTCGTCTTCTAAAATTAATTAAAAGTATTTATTATTAATGCTTACTGATAAAATAAATAAATAAACATGATAATAAAATAAAATCTCCTACTCGGTTTTGAAAGTTATTTAATTACCTTTTTTCAGCAAAACTACTATAAAAAGCGCGTAATTACAGTTTTCGATGTAACATACAGTTCTGCAAATCTTGCAAACAAATTTCTGGACAAAATTAAACTTGGTAGTTCAGCGTATATCTGGACAGGTTATTTTGATAAACTGAGCAAATGTAATAATAATAAGGGCTTTGGTTTGGAAACCTGCCCTCTTACTTAAAGTTATTGGGGGAAATATTCTCTCATTTTGGCTACATCATGAGTATGTTTATATAAAAGGAATTCCCTTTGCTATAAGGAAAGACAGGACGAAACTTTCTTCTAATACACATTGTGCTGTGGAACAATTCCATAATTAGTAAAAAAAGGTGAAATAATAATCCTTTCCAGTACTGGAAAATTGTATGCGAATTTTATCAAATGGAACTAAAGCGAAGTTAAGGGGATCACATTTATTTTCAGAAACAAGCAGCAATGGAAGCTTAAAAAATTAAAATTACCTATTCTGTGAACTTTTTTGCAAAAAATGCAGCAACAAAAACGTTTTTGGTGGAACATTTTCTTTTACCGCACAGCTATTCATGCGCGTAAGCAAAGTTTATACATGTAACCGCGCAGACAGCTAATAGAAAGCCTAATTGAATGTACGTCATGTAGAAATATAATTTTTCGTAAAGAAGAGGTTCCGCTCAAGCGTTATTTAGAAACGAAACAGACAGAAGAATAATAAGT